TATGTAATTAAGGTATCATCTTAATTAATGCCATTAGTATGACATTCAAATGATCCAACATCATTAGTGTAGATTCCATTATGGGTAGTAAGTTCCCTGTGATTGGAGATGTCTAAACAGAGCCAATGGGCAGGGTTGTTGTGTCAGAATTCTAGATTCTCTCAAAAGGTCCTTCCAATTTTAAGAGGCAGCAATTCCGTGGTAGGATGACATAGTTTACACCATTCTTTCAAGTGCCACTTTTTAATCCAACTAAACTTGCCCTGCTTTTGGCTACTTGATTAAAGACAAAATAAACAATTTGCCAAACATTGTAAGAGGGAGGTCTCTAATCTTGTGGAGATAATGAGTGGAGGTATTTCCTGATAGTTCTAAGGAAGTTACCCATGTAAGGTCTTCTGTTCAGGTGTAGATCCAATAGTTACCAATGACTCCACCTTCACCCCCTCAGACAGCCAGTGTCTTTACAGTGTTGGATCCCTGACCTGACCCTATGATTTGTCATCTTCTTGTTGTTGTTAGTTGCCTTCAAGTTGATTTAGAGTCATGGTCACCCCATGTGTGCAGAGTAGAACTGCTCCATAGGGTTTTCAAGGCTGTGACCCTCAGAAGCAGATCACCATATTTGCCTTCTGAGGGGCCTCTTGAAGGGCTTGAGCTGCCAACTTTTAGGCTAATAGTTGAGCTCTTAGCTGTTTGCATCACTCAAGGACTTCTGTTTGGTATCTAAACCTGATGACTATGTAGCCAAGTGGATAGTTCTTCCTCTGGCAATGTAAAGGATTCCTGAATGACAATGGAGGATTGAGCTGAATCAGTTTGGACTATTCTATGGGGAAAAAGACACAGAAGAGAAGAAAAACAAAATGCTACCAAGCTTATTGTATTAACAGTGTTCTTTCCCCATTAGAGTAAACCCCAGTGTTGGTGGGTTTGGGTAAGATAGACCAATACATATGCCTGTGGAACTTCTTTTATTCTTCCTAAATTTCTGACGATATTTGGATGACTTGATTGATTTTGGACACTTGAATGATTGATGAGTTGTCTGTCTGGAGAACAAATGAGTTCAAGTCCATTGCCAAGGTCAGCCTTGAGTTCAGAAGCTGCCAAGAGGACTTGCCCATACTGTAGGCCATTACTGCACTATGCCAGATGATAGAATCTCAACAGTGGCTTTGCAAGTGATTTGTCTGTTTGGTTAGCTTTTGGGTCTGATGGGCCCTTGGCTGTGGGTTGCAAGTTTGGGCCACACCCTTCTCCCTGGATAGCTGCCTCATACATATGCCCCATTGCTAGGTGATTCTTTCTTCTGGGACCAATAACTCCCATCTCATCAAGTCTTACAGATAATGGGTCAGAGACTATTTTCCTGGATGGAGAATAGTATGAACAGCCCTTCACCTTCCTCGCCATATACTTATCATTTAGTTATCCATTCATTGCACTTGCAGTCTCTATCAGACATGGTACTAGACACACAGAAGGCAAAGGTGACAAAGATATGGTCACCTACTTATGTGCTCATTGTGTA